AATATAGAGATACTGGATGAATCGACAAAAGACACACACCATAGATTCCTCGCGGATAGTTCAGCATTTAAATTATTACTACCCCGACTCTACCGTCGGGTTCCCAACTCCAATCACTTACCCTCTGTCCCCAGTCCATTTTGCTATTTCCTATAAATTGCTAAAATCATGCAGCAGCGATAAAACGTCATCGCCCATGGCTGCTAGGCTCTGACATGATATGAAGCGTGGATTCGCCCAGCTGTTTCGCCCAAACGGCTTTTCGTTCCAATGCTGTTTCGATTCAACACTGTTTAGTTCCAGTCCATCGATTTTTATATATTTTGTTTTTGCTATAGCATTATTGTACAGGGAAAGTAAATAAATTAATTAAATCAGAATACAAGAAACTCACTATTATATAAACAATTTAAGATGTCGATTCGTTATTTCCAGTAACAGGCATCAACATTGTTCGAAAGACTGAACAGTCTCCTGGTTGTCAGGGCTAGATAACAACGACAACTCATGCAAAAGCTTTCGTGACTTTCGATTGGTCGAAATCTAGAATAAAGTTAAGCTCCTCTCGTGAACCATGGTTACTAAAAGTAACCGTGCATGGACCAAGCAGGTCTGGAACATTTGTTCATTTCTGCTGAGTTCAGTTTGTCGTAATCGAACATGTTGATGAGGAAATAGTAATATGCAATAGTAATAATAGCCTGAGTAACAACAAAATAGATTAGATCGAAACAGCACTGGGACGACACTGAACCGATAATACATGCTTATAATATTGCATATATAATATTGGTCTTAGACTAATAACACTAGAGAAACTACATAAAATGAGCCAACTTTGTGGTTAGAATATAATCAAAATATTATTTACATGGTATTAAAACTGAGGAGCCCGTAGATTTTTCATCATATTTAGAACCGATATAGCCTAGCCCATCAAACAGATAATAAAGCGCAAAAAAGTAACAACGAAAACTAATAATATGCTCCAATATAAAATTGTAAAAACTCTTTGTGTTTGCTGCGGTCAAAGTATTTATATAAGATACTAGTATTGTTTTCATTTAAGCATAGAAATGACACGTCATATGAATTAATTATTCAAACTTTCAAAATTGTTCTTTTTTGCGACGGAAAAAATGCTTATATTTAGTATGCTACGCCAAAGGTGTTCGTAATTTTGCTAGATTGTTTTATATTGTTCATAAATGACGTTATAAATGTCGACATGATCGTATTACTCGCATTTTCTGCTGTAATTGAACGCCGTCCAGTAAATATTATTAGCACCTGTGTCGTAAAGCGGTTGAATTTTACGACTATTCAACGTGAATCGAGGTGTATATTATCGATCAATATCAAGTATTTATTATATCAGTCAATTAAATAAAAAACAAAAAGTTCGGTGTCAAAGTAAAAAGTTTCGACTACCGTTGCCTTTAAATTACTCACTGCATTGTGTCTTACTGTGTATTTACTGCAATAGTATAGTTGTTTTCATTGTATGTGTGGCAGCTTTTCCGGTTTTACTCACGCGCGCTTTCAAACGAGCGTGTTTTCAAACTCGATAGAGCGGGTGTATATAAACCTCCAATATGCCACACACAACTGTAACACGTGGGATTATAGTATCATGATCGGTACACGTCATAACAGGCGGTGACAATCATGAGGTGGGTTCCGTATCGTCTTATTATATCAAAAGAGCATTCAAAATGCGCATTTTTTGCCGCTGTTCTTGTTTTGATGCTAACTGTTAGACATATCAGTCACGTTCAACACTGCACGCAGTCACTTATCGATCTCAAACGTTCGTGCTCGGAGACCGCAGTTGTATGTACGGCGAATTCGTCATCAGTTCACTCGGCGGAAGTCATCATCGGTGATAATGTCACTCGTAGTATACAGCTCCGCGATGTGTCCTTGGTTGCAGAAGAAACGGAACAGTCGACTTGGGATGCGAGCTACGACGAAGCGAAGTACATCGAGGCGAAATTCGGGAGTTTTTGCTACAGCCCAAAGTATCCGTACTTCGTCGCTACCGATAAGCAGCTTTTGAGTGAATCCGTGTTGAGAGAACGAGGTTGTGCAAAACGGCTGCCAAAGGTCATCATCGCTGGCGTCAAAAAATGCGGCACAGGCGCGGTATTGAGATTTCTAAACCTCCACCCAAATATCACCGGGTCATCTCAAGCCGAAGTCCACTATTTTGACTCGCGAGTTAAGAGAGATCTGACATGGTACCGAGACCAGATGCCATATAGTTCTCAAGATCAAATTACAATAGAAAAAACTCCAACCTACTTCAACTTCCCCGACGACGCTCCGCGGAGGATTCGTGAAGAGTTGTCACCGGAGACAAAAATTATTCTGGTATTGTGCGACCCTGTTAGAAGGGCGGTGTCTGATTACTTAGAATACCAGTGGAGAACAACTGTACCGGGAGCCGGGGCAGCGAAAAGAATCCGAAAGACTTTCGAGTTGACGGTGGTGGACGTCGGATATTCTGAAAGTGTGAAAGAAGAACAGGAGATTGTAGATCTCGGGGTTTATATAAAGTTTCTAATACGCTGGTACGATGCGTTTGAAAAAGAGAACATACTGTTGGTGGATGGAACCCGATTTTCTAACGCTCCGTACCGAGAACTCCAAAAGATTGAGCATTTTCTCGGCCTTCGGCCTTTCTTCAGAGAAGCTCACTTTTCGCTAAACCCAGATAGAGGAATATATTGCATTAATTTTCCAAAAGAATATTGTTTACCGGAGAGCAAAGGACGTACACACCCAATTGTGGACGACATCATTTGGCAGAAAATGTGCGATTTTTACGCGCCTTATGATAAAATGTTAGCTAAAATCTATGGATATAATTTTTCGTGGGTAGGACATTGCGAACAACGAAAACAATACCGATGATGTCGCAATGCTATTTTTTTAGTATAGAACTTGTCGAATACTTATAATATGACATATATTTGATATAATTCCCACCGAAATTACTGGACATTACTCAAATAGCGCACATTCATTGATTTATTAAATACTTAAAGATTTTACTGTATGTTTTGCAATGAATATGCGAGAGAAGTGCCTACGAAGTGACCTCAAATTGGACAGGACTGCTGTTAATCTTTCCACACGTGTTCACGCTAATCCACCCTGCCTACAATAACCACATTAAAATACAATAAATACAGTGATGTTTATTTCCAATGTGACACAAATACCACAACACTGTGATTAGAAATACTACCGGTACGTTCATGTTCAAAGCGGTTGTATCGGTTTGGCAAAATTATTATTGTTTTTTGAAACAATTGTCAATTTGAATAAATTAATTCTTGAAATTGACACCAACAGTTACGCACGCCTACCACGCTGTGCGTAATCTCCATGTTGACTGTGTATGATATCGCAGACATTTTTTGACCCTTTTCATCTCACACCGGGACATAAGGCTGCAATCAGGTTCTTCCATTCCTGTCTATCCTTGGCCACCATTTCTGCACTACTCCAGGTCAGGTTTTCTTGGGCAAGTTCTATGGTAATGGTTCTTCTCCATGTGGTTTTTGGCCTCCCTCTGTTTCGTCGTGGTGTCCAGCGAAGTGCTGTTTTGGGGATTGAGTCTTGTGGTATTCTAAGAATAATAATAATGTCCTTAGAATGTGTTTGCCTACAGAGATTATCATTGGATATGATCACTGGCCAGAATATTTTGCAAATTCTCCTAAGGCAACTATTGTGGAAAGATGATAACTTGATCATATCGGATTTTGTTACACGCCAACATTCGGATCATATGCATAGAGAAGGACAGATTTTACATTGCTATTGTAAAGCTTGAGTTTAAGCTTCTGACTGTATTGGTTGGATTTCCAAATTGGATTTAGTTTTATGAAGGCATTCCTGGCTTTGGCTATTCTTGATTTTTACTTATGCTGTCTTTGCTCACATTACTGCCCAGGTAAGTGAAGTCATCAACTTCATTGATGGCCTTACCCTGAATTTTGAGTGGGGTTTGGTTTGTTGTGTTGATTTTCAATAGCTGTGTTTTTTTCTCATTGATTGACAGTCCTGTTTGTGCTGCAAACCTAGAGAGCCTGTTGGTCTTTTCTTGCATGTGGTCTAGTCTTGATGAAAGCAGAGCTATATCGTATGCAAAATCCAGATCGTCAAGTTTGCAAAACATGGACCATTGTATTTCTCTTGCTTTGCCGACATTTGTGTTTCTCATTACCCAGTCAAGGGTATTAAGGAAGAACATGGGTGAGAGTATGCATCCTTGTCGTACTCCTGACTCAATTTTGAACCAGTCTGAGAGACCGTTGTCTAGGATGATGCTGCACTCAAAGTCTACATAAAATGTCTTGATTAGTTGGGTGAGTTTTGGGTGAATTCCATAGGCTCCTAATATCCTCCACAGGCTGTCTCGATGAAACAAGCGAAGTTTTAGCGTAAATATTGCTTCATCGTAATTTTTTCTGAAACCCAAATTACTAGAAATTATTTTCAACAACCTGAGTATCAAATATACACTTTGGCAAAATTAAGTACAGCTACATTTGAGATAAAGTGTATGTATGTGTACGTGAGGAAGTACAGCATGAATGAAATTGTGTTATTAATCTTCTTAGCCCGAATTTTACTAGTCTAAGACCAATTTTGTTTTTGCCAACGAAGCAACCACACCAATAACTGAGGATCTGAGAAGTGATTTCAGGATATATGTTTTTTAGTGTTTGTTTTAGACTTGCTTGCAGTCTGTTG